CCTTATTTTTTTTTTTTTTTTTTTTGAGACAGAGTCTCGTTTTGTAGTGCAGAGTGGCCTTGAACTCACTATGTAGACCAGGATGACCTCGAACTCACGACAGTCCTCCTGCCTCAGCTTTCTGAGTGCTGGGATTACAGGCGTGCACCACTTCGCCTGGCTTAAAATTGGTAGTTCTTATGCAAAGAGTAACTTCAATGGCATGTTGCCTTTTTTGTCTTGAGTCCTTCAACATTTTTTCAGAAATTTGAATGAAGTAAGGCTTGTATATCACCAGTGCCAAAAATTCAAAACTAGAAGGGATAGCTTATTTGTTTTGTTAGTGAATCGGTGACCTTGGAAGGTTGAAAGTACTTTTTTAAAGCTTTTTTTCCCTTAATTATGAAAGGGACAAATGTGCCTCTCATAAAGTTCTGAAAAAGAAAGTTGATCTAATTATTTTCTAAGTCAGTGAAGCTTGACTGCAGTAAGGGCAGCATTCAGGCTCTAAGTCAGTTGTACAGAGCATCAGGGGAAGTAGATCTGGTCTGAAGAGTGCCAGGAGCTGTAACTGACTGCACTTGGTGCCACAGTCACAGACCCAGAATCTGGCAGATTCCCATGCAGAGGGCCTGGGGACTCTCCCGTGTGAGGAACGACTCAGGACAGTGCGAATTTAGCCCAGAGGAGAAAGCCGGGAGACGTTCAGATATTTCTGGGTATTTACAAAGTTGTTCTGTAAGAGTGTTGGATCATTCCGTGTTCAGAAGACAGGAGCAGACCAGCCAGCAGGAGTGAAAGGAGAGTGGCCCTGGGCCCCGTGTCGGGGCGGATGCACCTTAACAGTCACAGCTGATCACAGAGAGACTCTGCTGACTGGTACAGCGGTGAGCCCTTGGCCCTCAGCTCAGTTATTCCCTCATTACAGAGGTAAAATACCTGACACCCACAAGGGGGCAAAGGTTTATTCTGGCTCACAGTTTGTAGAAGTTTCAGTCCATAGTCAGTGGGCCCCAAAGCAGGGCAGCCAGGCAGGGCACACAGGAGCAGTGAAGCCTGCCTTCCATCTCTCCTTTGTATTCCACCCTCTTACAAGCCTGTTGACTGGTGCCACCCACCCCAGAGTGGGACTTCCATTCGTCCGAACTGTGCTAAACCCACTGGGTTGTCACACACCCTTAATTCACAGTCCCACCCCCCTGATCCATCCTGCCCCGCTAAGCCCCACCTGTGAGCACAGAAGGCTTTGGAGGGACGTTGAGGTACAAGCCATAGAGCACTGGAGTGGCCTGAAGCAGGTGTTCGGTGGTTGGCTGTCAGAAATGGCAAGGGGACGGGTTATTTTTAACATCTTTTTAATGAAATTACAAAAGTGAAAATATAAAAGTTTACAGATAACTATTATCTACTGATCAGACTTAACATTTTAATACTTGTCACATTTTCTTCATCCTTGCATCGTGTTTTTTAAAGATATAAACCACTACAGATACAGGCAGAGTGTTTACCCTGGCCACACCCTGCTCTATGCCTTTCCCCTTAAACTGGTGCAATGCCTTCCTGACTATATGTTTAGTTTTTTTTACTACCTGTGTATGTATACCTGTATAGTACACAGCATTATTTTGAGAAATATTTGTTTTTGCAAAATTCTTTCTATATTTAGCTTCATATTCTAGATTTACTATGGTAATGCACACAAGTCTTGTTCATTACTTTTCAATTTTGTATGCAGATATATAATTATGTATTTTCTTTTTCTATAAATTTTAGTTTCTCAATTTTTGTTTTTTTCTGTTATAATCAGCCCTAGATTGAATATCCTTTTATGAGTAGAAGAGATTTGTCTACTAAGAAGAGTGTTACACTGGATGGTTTAATGTTTCCCAATTCAAATTTCATTTAAATTCAACTAACATTTTGTAATCTCTGGAGATAATAATAAGATGTAGGCCCAGCCGAATAATTCACTGTGTACAGGCTGTGTGAATTTTGTATTGTTTAATTGTTTTTAGTCACCTGTAAAGCTTATATGGGTTAGGCAATTGCTTTTATCATTATGGGCATAACCTGGGATATCTGTACCTATTGGTAAGATTTTCTTCTTCTTTTCTTTTTCCTTGATTCTGGGGACCAAATTCAGGGCATGTGCTGGGCTGGTGCTTTGCCACTGAGATATACCCCAGCCCCTTGTAGTAGACTTTTCTGCCTTCACTGAGTGTTGACCAGTGCTTTTTGACAAAGTGAATTATGTATTGTCCAAGAGGATCCAAAATTACTTCTTTTCCAGAATTTCTTTGTCTGCTTATGACTTATACTAAAGAAATGATTGTTCTCACCCTTTCTGTTGGACTTTGCTTTTTAAAAAAATAATAAGTGCTACATATGGTTTATTTCTGTGTGTGCTATTGTGTCTCTGTGCATTGTGTTTTTAGGAAAAAGGCTCAGCTCAAGAAAAAAAGAGGTATCCCTCAGATCAATGAACAAATGCTCTTTCATGGTACCAGCAATGAGTTTGTGGAAGCGATCTGCATTCATAACTTCGACTGGAGAATAAATGGCATACACGGCACTCTGTTTGGAAAAGGTAAGTATCAGAATTCCAGGTCTAAATTGAGTCCAAAGGGAAAGTTTTCTCTCTTTAGAAATTATTGATTGTTTTCTAATGCAGGGATTTGGTAAAGGATAAAAGTTGCCATTTTGGGTTCTAGGCACATATTCATGTTTCTGAGCACAGAAAAGTCATTTTTTATATACGCAGGATGGAGGTGAGACTTTTGCACTACTGCCAGATTAAGTAGCTTCCCAAATCCCTATCACCCAGATGGAGCACATCCATGCTACCGAATTCTGTGTTCAATTTAATTTTCACATGTAAGTCCTTTCTGTGTATGAGCCTGTGCACTAAACTGCTTTCTGGCAGTATAGAGAGGGTGATAGAACAAGTTAGTTATATTGTACACCAGTATCAGTAAGTGTTTTTATTTTTTTGTTTTTCTTTTTCTTCAAGAAAATTATAGGTGAGACTATTAATGGGCAGTAAGAAATATTAGGGGGAACTTCTCATTTCTAGTGTTGTGAAAGTTCAGGTTGGCCAGTTTATCCCCACAAGTAATAAAGGAGAAAGCTGAGGGGCACAGGTTAGGGGCTGAACATTTGTTCTTCTAGTCCTTACATAAATCCCTTCCGTTCTGTATCGGGTGAAGGTGGGACTTTGCAGTTCATTTGCAGAGTTGGTTAGAGCAGGTATTCCCTTAACAGTGTCATTCTCTCCTGCCTGCTGTTTCTAAAGAGTAGACTACTTTATTGAGTTCCCATGTGTAGGTGGTGGACCCATGAAAATAACTCTTCCAGGGCCGGGGGATTGAGCTCAGTGGTTCTGCTCTCTGACTTGCAAGTGCAAGGTCCGGACTTCAATCCCCCATACCAAAAAAAAAAAGAACAGAAGGAAATGAAAATAGCTCTTCTGCAATGCTCAGGCAGGAATATCTTTTAGTCAGCTTTCTGTCACTAAAATACTTGAGAGAATCAACTTAAAGGGAGGAGGGTTGATTTTGGCTGTGAGTTTCAGTCCATTGTCAGTTGGCCCTGTTGCTTTTGAGCCACGTTAAAGACTGATGGTGGTAGCAGGGAGTGCCTAGTGGAACGATCTCCCTTCATAGCAGTTGGGAAATGGAGACAAATAGAGGAAGATAAGGGTCACATCCTGCAAGGGTGCATCGCTAGTGACCAAGACCTCTCATGAGACCCTACTTCCTAAAGCTTCCACCACCTCCCCTAGCACCAGGCTGGGGACCAAGCCTTTAACACACCAGCCTTTGGGGGACACTTAGGATCCAAACCATAGTGACAGCTTTGCAGTTTTTTGGAAATCTTTTCCAGGATATAAAGTTCTGCTAGTTCTAGGATTATTATTGGATTGTTAGCCTGCATCATAGAAATATGGCTTCTTTGGGTTTGAATTCATGTCTGTGAACTGAAGTTTTCCTTGTACTCTCCAGACCTTTGTTGGATGTTGGACCAGGGGAGGGGAGGAGATTGGTAGACAGAACTAGAAATGGGAAGGAAGTCCACACAGTGTCCAGGTCCTCAACCCCCCAGTAACCAAAACAACAACAATTTCAGATCCTGCCCTTTAAGTCCTGGGACACTTTTAAATGTGTTTTACTTATTGGGTTTCTCAGGGAGATTCATTCTGAACAGAATCTGTTCATTCTAAACAGAACAGAAGTCTGGTCTAGTTAGGGGAGGCAGGGAAGTGTATTACAGATACCTGGTTTATGCCAACGAATCTGTGCCTCTGGCAGGCAGCTGTGCCACAGCTGTTCCCAGCAGACAGATTTCCCTTCTTCTCTTAAGGATCTGTGGATGAGGAAAGTCCTCACATTTTTGCTATATGGCTCCATGTGCCAGTTTGCCCTAAAGTTAGAATGTTTCTGTTTCTGTTTAATATGTTCTTAGGAGGAATCTCAGCTCTCTTTGGTCCTTTTTTTCCCAGGAACCTATTTTGCTAGAGATGCTGCTTACTCCAGCCGCTTCTGCAAAGATGACATAAAGCACGGAAACACATTCCAGATTCATGGTGTCAGCCTGCCACCGCGGCATCTGTTTCGAACGTACAAATCTATGTTCCTTGCTCGGGTGCTAATTGGAGATTACATAAACGGAGACTCCAAATACATGCGACCCCCTTCCAAAGACGGGAGCTATGTGAATTTATATGACAGCTGTGTGGATGATACCTGGAATCCAAAGGTTTTTGTGGTTTTCGATGCCAACCAAATCTATCCTGAATACTTGATAGAGTTTCATTGATTTCAGCTCCACTTGTCAATGGTCAAGTGAGTTTTGTTCTTTTTTGCAGGAGGATTTGCTCACCTGTCATCTAGCTACTAAATATTAATTATCTGATACTTTTGAATCAGATCTGAAAAAGTAGCTTTCACATAAAAAGATATACTGACTCTATAAGGTTGGTTTTGTTTCATTTTTCTGTTGTTCATATCTTGACTATTAAAAATTAATACCTTTGCCATTTTAACTCATAAGGGTGATAGGTAACATTAAAAATCAAGTCAGCAGAGTCTCATTACCATTGTTATGGTTGTGCAGTCTTTTTATTTTACCCATGTGATGAGAATAAATCATTTTAGGTCATTCACATGGACTTATTCATCTACAGTATATATAATTAAAATATAGGCAAACGTATCTCTTTGGAGAAATGGATCTTTTATAACTTGAATTCTGGTGTTATTGGCTACCAGTCAGCTTATGTTTGGTTGGTCTCTGAAGGAGCGATACAAACCCTGAAACAGTGTGGGCCCCTTGAGAGAAATAAGAAGCAAGGACAGTATTCACAGTGCTATCCAGCAAGTCTGAGGAGAGACTCAAGACAGATCTCTGCTGCCTGTTGCCCAAGGACCTCAGGCTGCAGCTGCATGCTTCTTCTGTCTTACTCTTTTGTCTCCTGTGTCTGAAATGAGAGCAGCTGCAGACTGATTCACCCATACTTCTCCCTCTCTGATTCTTGCACTAAGACGGGGTGTGTAAGAAGATATCTCTTTCATCTTCCAAGTGCAGGCTTTATTTATTGCTTAAAATATTTGTTTTCCCTTTGTTTTAGAGTCCCTACATCTATTTTAGATTACTTCTAAAGTGTTTTTATCTGCACCCTACAACACTTACAGTTATTCAACAGTGATTTTGAAAATTCACATTTCTCCATTTTGAATAATCACAGAAAACATGGAATGCTCAGAACAACACTGGTTTATCCTTTTTTTGCATAGCAATAGGCACCTTCTAACTCTTGAATGGTCAGATAGCATAGATCATTGTTGTATTCAGTGAGCGCATGTTTACCGTCTGTTTTGTTGCTGTGCTGTGAGGGGAATAAGCAGTATTGTACCACTTCCAACCTGTGAGTGTCCCTGCAGAGACGAGACAGCAGTTTGGCAGGATATGGAGCAGGAGTTGAAGTGCTGGATAAGAACTGCCCAGATGATTGTTAAGAGTCTTTCCAGCATTGATTTTTCCATGATTCTCTCTGAAAAGCAGAACACTTGTACCATGTCTTTCTCGGAAAATATTTTTCTATCTAATTCATAGCACTGAATTCTCTCTTCAGTATCCTTACTCAGTTTTGGCAGAAACTTAGTGAACACAGTTTAACTTCCACAGTGTCCATGCCCATATGGTTTTGCTCAACCATTTGACTTAGGGAGGCATCTAGAATTGATAGAAGTATAGTACAGAATGGAATTAGTGATAGTAATTCTCTAAGTGCCATATACCATCAGGTTTTCATTAGGTCCCAGAATATGTGTAATTGTTCAGTGAAAGTAAATAGACAGTACACAGGAAATTGCTCACACAACATTTTGAAACAAAGTAGTAAGAATTTCCTAACTCAGATGTGCACCTTCATTGCCAGTTTAAAGGAAATGCTGGGAATATTTAGAAAAAGTACATCTTAAAAACACCCAGAGCTTATTGCAGAGACAAAGCCCCTGGGCTGCCTTAGAGAGGGAGGGAGCGCATGACTCAAGACTAATTTGCAAAGCACAGTGTTAGACACATGAGGAATTCAGATTTTCAGAATCTTTTTGTTCTATTTGTTGTTTACATAAAAATACTGAAATAATTTCCTTTTAACCTGGCTATCTCCCTTGCCTCAATATTACATGCATATCTTACTCAGCACCTGAATGACGATTGGAGATTTAGAATTGTTTTTCTTTTAGACATGTGCAGATCTTACCCCAAGGTGACTAGGAGCCCTCAGTTAAGAATGTGGAAGGCAGTCGGTAAAGTTTGAGCCTGTGTGTCAGGTTGATCCACGGTAAGTAGGGTACACTGCAGTTGCTGTTGTAAGAAAGCGCTATGCTATTGTTCGTGTCTGAGAATGTACTGCCAACTCCTTTTTTATAAGAAGAACTGGTTTCATACATATTTTTAAATATAGTGGTGTAAAGTCATTGATGTTGCAGTTTTCTTTGGTCATTAAGTTAGCTGAAACATGTAATCCATTTATAGTAAGACTGAATCAGCCATTTAGCGTGGTTTCCTCTGTTTACCACATAGTGTGCTGAGGAGAGTGAGGAGAAGCCATTCCAGATTAATGATAAGTGATTTTTAAAACTCTGTGTTAAATACATTGCGGCTGCTAATGACATTCCTCTTTTACTTTGGGGAGCCTCAGAGTAAAAATAAATGTGTTTTTAAAAAACACTTTGATGAGACTGTTATGAACAGGAAGGTTTTGTTCAGTGCTTCATTTCATTTCTAGACCATTGGTGGTGAAGACAAAGAAGAAGAATCAGAAGCCATTTGAAATACGAATATGTTGTTTTTACATTTGGTGATTAAAGCTCTGTAACAAGTCCTGATGGTGTGTGCACTTCATGTTTCTGGAGTTTCTGTGTCTCTTCTCCACCTTGCATTGTTTGAACCTGAGTTTGCAGCTCAAGTCTAATGGACTGTCCAGGAGTCTGCTGTCCCCAACTCTTCTGTATTCCACTTCCATACAGGGAAGTCTCATTCTTGGCCTGAGTCGTCAAGAACAACAGCTGGTCACATAACCTTCCGAGAAGACTGTGGACTCTGTCTGCTTTTGAGAATTCCAAGTCAGAGCAAGGCCGGACTCCTGCAGCCCCTTGCTCCTGTGGGCACCTCTGGGTGAGAGGCGCTGCTTGGGGTCTGCCTGCTAATTCAGTACACGCCCCTGCGCCCTACCAGCCCCAGCTCTGCAAGTGTCTAGGCCCGTCCCCAGGGACACAAGACAAACCCTGCTCCAAATCTTTTAGATAGAAAAGGAAATAGAAAAAGGATAAGTCTGTTGATAGAAAAGGAAAGTCAAAGAATTTCTTAATGTTAGAGCTGAGACATAAGGGACCAGATGATTGAAGATTACCTGTGGACACAAGTTTTCCACTCCTTAAATCACATCGCAGTGCTCTAAATGTTGAGCTAATTATTAACACATGGAATAAAATTGGGCTTCGATCGAGAACTGTGACATCATTACAAATTTTATTCATAGGCCATTCAGGGAGTTGAGATCTCCTTTCAGCTTGCCAAGAATAGTCTCAGAAGCAGTGTCTTAGTGGCCCTGCAGCTCTTTAGTCTCCAGATTTTCTTTTTTCTTAGAGGAGGATGTTTTGTTTATTTTTAAATATTTTCTTTTCATTAGTCAACTTCCAAATGAAATTATAATTCTTATAAAAGAAAAAAAAGAAATGAAAAATAACAAAGAAGAAAAACAAAAGCAATGTGAAAAATTACCTTATTTCTTAAGAGATGTGGGTCTGGAATTCCTGGGTTCAAACAGTCCTGCCTCAGTCTCCTGTACCTCAGAGCACAAGCACGCACCACCATGCTCAGTAAAAATTGTCTCTGATTAGAAACTCTAGCAAAGGGATTTTACCTACTTTTGCACCCTTGCACTGTGTGTGGAAGGAGTTTTGGTGAGACACAGCCTACCTCATTTCTCTATGGGTAATTTTTTGTTGTTGCTTGGGCAACACAGGCAGGAAGGAACCTTTCCAAGACACACGAAGTGTGCAGTTGTTCCAGGCTCCCCGGTTAATGAGTGTTGTGTGTAGGGAGGTGAGTGGAGGTGCCTAGGAAAGGAGTTCAGGGTTTGCCCCTTCACCTCCACTTGTTCCAACAGTAGTTTGTTCTCCTGTCTTCTCTGAAGACTTGAGGGTGCTTGGAAGAGAAGTGGAAGGACAGATGGGGACAAGGATGAAAGGTGGATGGAAGGAGAGCTGGTGGCCTCTCGTGCTCCCCTGCTGCTTCCCACACTGAAATGCTTGATCATCCAGGTAAAGACGATGGAGTAATTCCGGACACCCAGCGAAGCTCTTCTGTAAGTGAGCTGAGCCACTGCTGCAACTTACGTAATCCATTTCCTCCGCTTCTATTGCTTGGCTTTCATTTTTGTTTTGTTTTGTTTGTTTTTTTGAGACAGGGTCTCACTGTGTAGTTGAGACTGACCTGGAACTCACTGTGTAGCCCATGCTGGTCTCGAACTCACAGCAATCCTCCTGCCTCAGCCTCCCAAATTCTGGGACGACAGGCGTGTGTCACCTCGCCGAGCTTTGGCTTTCATTCTTTAGCACTGCAGGCTAAGAACATGAACTCCGGCTGCATGGCTGTGTGTCTGAGAACTTAGCATTGATCTTACTCATTTTGAAGCAGTTTCTCATGAGACTGGAACACAGGTTTCATGCCAAAGACAGTAGTGTTTTCTGCAGTTTCTTAGTTCTGCTAGACCCTCTGCAGTGCACTGCTTCTGACTCCGCGACCCATGTGGACATGCATGTAGCTTAGAAGAGTCAGTCCAGAGTTTAATTCAAATCATTTTTGCAGTATTAACTGTAATTCCCACCTGCACTTCTTGCAGTTTTCCGTTCCACTTTAGAAATACCTCTTCCTGAAGGGCTCCTTGTGCTCTGACACCCCGATGTCATGAGGAAGCCACAGGCGTCAGCACTCAGACTCAGAAGTTGAAGGCATTTCCCACGTGCTCCTCTGTGATGAAGGTGCGCCCTGGGAGCCAGCTGGTGGGAACTGTGTTTCTGGCCTTGCCTTGCACCCAGCCACCTTTGGATGATTCACCAGAGGGGAGGTGAAATGGATGAAAGACCAGTGAGACTCCTTCAAGGAAAAAGACTTAACAGCTGAGCTGGATTTCTCTGGGCAACACCAGACCTGCGCTGGCAAAGCCTGAGTGTGGGCCAAAGAAATACTAAGAGGGCCCATGACGCTTTCAAATCGAGAGAAGCAAAGGCTCAGCAGGAAGGGAAAGGGATTGTCCTGGTTCCCCTGCACCTTGCCGATGACTAGTCCTCCGCTCCCTTCCGTTCCCTGCTCTGGGTCACTGACTGCCAGGCAGATGGAGTCAAACCAGCTCCACTGTCATGGGTCACGACGTCTGGCTGGGTGTGTGACCTGTAAGAGTGCGGCTCTACCCGTGGATGTTCACTGAGAGCTGGGCGAGGAGGGAAGGCGGGCTTCCCTAGGAAGCCCCGAGTGTGGAGATGTTTACAGGGTCAGCCGAAGGACAGTGAAATCCTGGCCACACCCATCTGTGCCACACTGGGCTTTGGGAGAGTGAAAAAAGCAAGCTATGGATAAAGGCAGGTGGGACTTTTTCTTAATCATGAAATTCAGAGTGGCAGAGTCAAAGCCACAGGTGGCTTAGCTCCAAACCCCACACTTGGCCAAAGAGTCAGCCACAGGGGACCCAGTCCCAGCATTACGGGTTGCCTGGGTCGTGGGGAGGGGTGGTGCGGAACCTGTACAGCATGTCAAGTGTACCAGGTGAGGCTGTGAGGCACCCCGCTGCCCACATAACACACATGGCTCCCCACCGCCTGGAAACCCTGTTTGTCGAAGCGTGAGCTCTGGACTCAGTGAAATTGGCTCCTGGGCCATGGGGAGGGAGGTGGCTGAGCCTCTGTGCTTCTGTTTCCTTGTCTGCAGCAGCATGCGGCGATGGTGGTGTGTGGGCCTCAGAGCGGCAGCGGCGACACAGGCCTCTGTGTGCACCAGCATGAGCACGAGCACGTGCAGGCGTGTTAAGCTGCGAGGCCCTCCTCTCCGAGTAGCCCTGTGTCCCCGGCCTTCACACAGCCGCACACTGCCAGGATTCACGTGGCGTTCATGCCGCACTGCACTTAGCTGCATCTTTTTTTCTTCTTAGATTAGGCTTGATTAATGCCTTTCAACCAAAGACTTCCAGGAGCAACTCTTGTAAGGTAGACAGGCTAGGTGATTACTGCAGCATGCAAGCACACGCACCGTTGGGAACCATGGGGTGTCCCAGTGAAGGGAACTTGAACTTGGGACAGGATTTCGCTTTGGGGTGGTGATTTGGGGCTGACCTGGAGAATCTCAATTTTACTCTACACTGGATGTTGGGAGAGCAGGACTAATTCTGCGATGGTACGTCTATAGATTTCTCTAGGGAGACCAGCTGAGCATGAAGTATGATTGGAAAGGAGGCACAGCCACTCATTAAGGCTCAGAGAAAGTATTGCGTGGGTGGCACAGACCTTCTTTTCATCTGTGCTTAGACAAAATTACTAAGTGGCCTTGCTTTGTCTCATTTCCTTGTAGTCTCAGAGGAGACCCTGTCTGAGGCTGTTTTTTTGTGAGATAGTTCAGGTTCAACAGTAACTTTGTCTGAGGGTGCAGCCTTTTTCTAAATATCAGGGGCTGATCTCTCTCTGCTTTTACGTGAGCTAGTTTTCTTCTGTGTGGAGACTGTAGGTCAGTGTGTATCTATTCATTCAACAAAACACCATCGTCTCTACTCCATACCAGCATGGTAGGATGCAATAGTGAGAACCTGCCTTCAGGGAACTCAAGGTGTAGGATTTTTAAAAGGGCCTTTAGAGACTATTCCAGCCAGCCACTCTGCTAGTGTAAATGCCTGCTTTACCTTCCCGTCAGAGTAGCCTATGTGTGGATATTTCCAGTGACAGGAAACTCCTGCTGTCAGCAGTGCTGCATATTAAAGCATTGATTTCCACCTGGCTCCATAATCTCTGTCCAGAATATTCCGAGCCATGGACCCAAGCATACTGCTGAAGGCACGTGGAAGGTCCCTGCACATCCTCTGCAGCACGAGACAGAGTTGGCCCACGATGGAGCAGGCGTACACTGGGCTCCCACATTTCAGTGTGCACTGCCTACTCTTACATTCTTCTCAACAGAGACCTTATTTTAATTCAACACAGAACTTAATATTGATTGCATTTCTTGTATGGCTTTGCTATTTGGGTCTATTTGGTCTGAGGAAAGGACAGAGACTTCCTGAGGGGTTTTCTAACAAGGTTGGTGTCTGCCCAGTCCCTGTTACTGAGCATGAGAGGAGCCACTAGATGGCAGCCTTGCCTCAGAATGGGCACAACAAAACCCAGACCCTGAGCTCCTGTCTGAATCTAGAGAAGAGGGTGAAGGACCTCTTTTCCACCCTAGCCCCGAAATTACCTAGTCAGTTCCCCTGCCACCAGGTAGAACCCCCAGCCATCAGATCCACCTAGACAGGCATCCATCCCACTTACAGTAATTGCTAGAAAAGTGCCCCTCCCAGTAGTAACCTAGTCTAACATGAGGATCTCGCCCGTGAACGTTTTTCCTAAACAACAATACCTTACCTCACGGTAACATCACTTTCTCTCTTTCCTCTATGAAGTTAGATTTGATTCAGCGGAAAATTGTTGAGCACTTTCTGAGTCCATGAATACAAAGGCCTTTACCAAAGAGTCCCTCTTTAAACCTTACTTCTTTAGCCTCCATCCTTTCGCTTCAGCAT